GCGATGAACTTGGCATTCGTAGTTGTAGAGGGCAGTGTGGTGGTACTTGTTGGTGGACTGCTCGTAGAGCTTGCTGTAGTTGTCGTGGGCAATGATGATGATGTTGAGGTCGTGGTCACCGAAGAAGGCGATGAACTTGGCAGTGTCGTAGTTGTAGAGGGCAGTGTGGTGGTACTTGTTGGTGGACTGCTCGTAGAACTTGCTGTAGTTGTCGTGGGCAATGATGATGATGTTGAGGTCGTGGTCACCGAAGAAGGCGATGAACTTGGCAGTGTCGTAGTTGTAGAGGGCAGTGTGGTGGTACTTGTTGGTGGACTGCTCGTAGAGGTTGCTGTAGTGGTCGTGGGCACGTGATGATCGAATGTTGAGGTGGTGAGTACCGAGAAGAGGGGCGAATGACTTATTCATGTGTGGCAGGTTGTGAAGGCAGTGGTAACTGTATGTGTTGGTGGGTGCTCGTAGACGGTGCTGCAGCGGTTGTTGGCTGATGATGACTGTTGAGGTCGTGTCACGAAGAGGGCGATGAACTTGGCAGTGTCGTAGTTGTAGAGGGCAGTGTGGTGGTACTTGTTGGTGGACTGCTCGTAGAGCTTGCTGTAGTTGTCGTGGGCAATGATGATGATGTTGAGGTCGTGGTCACCGAAGAAGGCGATGAACTTGGCAGTGTCGTAGTTGTAGAGGGCAGTGTGGTGGTACTTGTTGGTGGACTGCTCGTAGAGCTTGCTGTAGTTGTCGTGGGCAATGATGATGATGTTGAGGTCGTGGTCACCGAAGAAGGCGATGAACTTGGCAGTGTCGTAGTTGTAGAGGGCAGTGTGGTGGTACTTGTTGGTGGACTGCTCGTAGAGCTTGCTGTAGTGGTCGTGGGCAACGATGATGATGTTGAGGTCGTGGTCACCGAATGAAGGCGATGAACTGGCATTGTCGTAAGTTTGTAGAGGGCTAGTGTGAGTGGATACTTGTTGAGTGAACTGCTCTGTAGACCTTGCTGTAAGTTGTACGATGGGCAATGGTGATGATGTTTGAGGTAGTGGTCACGAAGAGGGGATAACTTGGCAGTGACGTAGTGTGTGAGGGCAGTGTAAGCGGTACGTTGTTGGTGGACTGCTCGTAGAGCTTGTGTAAGTTGTCGTGGGATGATTGATGTCTGAGGTCGTGGTCCGAGAAGAGGGCGATGAAGCTTGACAATTGGTGGTACTTGTTGGTGGACTGCTCGTAGAACTTGCTGTAGTTGTCGTGGGCAATGATGATGATGTTGAGGTCGTGGTCACCGAAGATGGCGATGAACTTGGCATTGTCGTAGTTGTAGAAGGCAGTGTGGTGGTACTTGTTGGTGGACTGCTCGTAGAATTCGTAGAAGTCGTTCCTGTCGTGAGAGAATCTGGCAGTACAGTTGTTGATGTCGGAAGCAAAGCTGTGCTCGATGGTATCACGTGAGAGCTTGTTGAAGTCGATCTCAGTAATGGTGCCACTGATGTCGGTTTGTCAGGTTCCGCAGTTGATGTGGAATTTCCAGGCGCTGGCATTGTTGTCGTCTTCAAAGGCGAGGCCGTCGTTACTGAAAATGGTTGTCTCCCAACTTAATGTTTTTGCTCTCAAAACGAATGATTCTGCCGATTGGCGCGGGACAGTATTTTTTCTTTTTTTCGAATGATTCGACCGGTATTGGCACTGGACAGCATCCTCTTTGGGAGTGCTAATTCCGCCCGTGGTCCGATTTTAGCCCCAACTCGGCACTCTTGTGAGTATTTTGTGTGACACTCAAGTTCTTTTACTCCTTATTTTTGAATTCGCCTATTTTTGAATGGCAGTTTGATGACGGATCGCCATTGCCCCTTCCTTCTACTCGGACAGAATATGGTTATGGTAAAGCCAAAATGGACATGTGTAGGGATCATATTTCTTTGACTAGAGAATCTTCGGCGTCATCAGAGCTTCAGTGCGGGACACTACATCTAACGAGCGCACCGCACGGGTGTTGACAATCATTTGCGCACAAGTTGAGGGAGCCGTCCACTTCAAGACTAATAGGAGCAGCTACACAGCTCCATGTAATTATAGTTCCACCCATGAATCTCGCAAAATCTCGACTTACACGACGTTCTCAAAAATGCCTCCAAGTAGGAACTGTGGTAATTACTAATGTTAAGTCGCATGCCAACGCTGCGTCTATACTTTGCGGCAGCGTACGCTAGCGTTTCCAGCGTTCGGCAGCGGCAGTGGCAAGGGAAGGATGGATATCGATCTAGCGTCACCAGCGTACGCTAGCGTAACGCTAGAGTATTCTAGCGTGCGCTAGCGTGACGCTAGAATACTCTAGCGTTACGCTGGCGTACGCTAGCGTAGCGAGGGCAAGGAAAGCATAGGTATCGATTTAGCGTTTTCAGGTATATATGTATATGTATGTTATATGTAATATAGGTTTTGGTTTACGTAGGGTTTGGGTTTTTTC